GGGGCAGTTGAAAGTTTGCCCGAATTTTTATGGAGAATTGTAATGAAATAACCTGATTTCAACACATTTTCTGATAAATCTGCCCGAATTTTCTTGATTTTTCCTAGCATTTACCCGAATTTCCATGGTTTTTCAAAATTTTGGGGGGCAGCACGCTTATGAAAAAATCTCGTACGCCTATGGAAATTTCTTTCATATCGGCATGCCTGTAGATTTAATTAATTATATTTATGTGGTAATTTATCCGCATAGATTTTTTAGATTTTGAACCTACGACCTTTGGAATACTAGCCCAATGCTCTGCCAACTGAGCTACGCGGTCAGGTCGGTTCGAGTAAGTGATATTTCGGAACAGAATCTAGTTCCTTCGATACCAATGTAATCTAGTTGGCGAATGTTTATGCTTACAACGTTTTAAAATGCTGGTTATGCCATCATTATCTTCTTAAGACTGAAATTTCACATATATTTGTCAAAGACATGTTTATAAGAGATTATCTTTCATGAATTATGTTTATATTTGTTCAATCCTAAAAGGGGGGCCAAATTTCCGAAGAGGGGGTCAAATATCCTAGGAAATATGCCCCTTGGGAGGGCCAAATTTGGCCCTCCCAAGGGGCATGCATATTGGACACCGGCACATCCCTATAGTTATAGCTTTTAACTCCTGAAGTCTTACATGTAATTCAATTAGTTTTATATTTGGTCCCTTATATAGTACGGAGGTTGGTATAGCTCTATGGCTCACTAACTTATGCAGCCATCACCATACGGACATCTTTCTTACATCTTTCGTTTCTTTGGTGTTCGTATTAGGGAGGTTCGATTGAAAAAAAATTCAATTTAGCTACCTGCAGGGCCGGATCTACCGTGGGGGTGCCGGAGGGGGGTAGGTGCACCCCACTTAGTGGTGCCTAGCACCTCCCCAGAGAAGTGCAGTATCACCTTAAAAAATCTGCTTGACCATACTTTTTCTGCTTTTCGAATAGCGATTACCAGAACTTCTATACTATTAGCGCGTGTCGATTTCTTCAATCGATTTAATTGAGTTGTGAGCTCACTAGAAAATACTCAGAACGCTTTAGTTAAATATAGTCGTTAAATACGTAAACATATAGTTAGATTTTGTACATACCTGGCCTCTATGGTGAAAGATATCTGCATTGTCCGGGTCCAATTTAATTGCTTCATTGAAGTCTTCGTACGCCTCTTGAGTGTTCTGAGTCATTTGCACCTTGATGCTCGCTCTTTTGATTAACGCGTTAACTTTAATCTAAATAACATAAAATGTAGGAATGGAAACATTTCAACATTCGACAGAAAATCAAGGAATGCATCAATATCTAAAGCACCTATCAATCATACTGTATAACCCCACTCTTTCCTTATGTAAAAAAATAAAAAAATCCGTAATAAAAAATATCGAAGAAGGGAACACATTTTCCTTTTTTAAAATTGGTAGAGTAAATTTTTTATATTTTACTTATTGTTAGTCTGTTTCAAAGTAAAAGGATGCATAAAATGTAACAAAACTTTCGACTTAAAATTTTCAAACTGTTGTACCCCTGAATTTTATAAGAACTGTATCGAGCTACCTCAAGTGAGATATTTTTTCATACAAAGATTCATTTTGTGCAATTTTTTCGAATATTCGAGGAATTGTACTATACATAGCGGGAGGTACGCTTTGTTCCAGGTCAACAATGAACGTTTCCTATGAAGCTTATGATCTACGACGTCGACTTCAGCTAGGACGTCAGGGCTGAGTAGAGGACTGGGACTAGGACGTCGTCCTAAACAAATAATCTAGTTAAGATTCACGACATCGACCTTTAAACCTGTAAATATTTACATCCTTTTGAAAATAAATTTTAAATAGACGCGCGAATTCATTACCGTTTGTTATGCTCTTGTAACCAAGACGGCAAAACTCTTGTTATGAAGTTGTCGACGCTTGGTGGACGACGGAGCAATTGAGAGAGACGCATACGCACTTCAAATATTTGCCAAATTACTTCCGCTTGCCGTCCTAGATATTTGACGTGGTAGATGTTAAGCACTTAAGCTATCTATTTAGGACTACGCCCCAGTCCCAGTCCTCTGCTCAGCCCTTACGTCCTAGCTGACGTCGACGTCGTAGATCTTAAGCTATCTAAATCCTATCTTTACCTTAACAGGAGCATCTTCTAAATTAATCACTCGGTCAAAGTCTTGGAGTGCTTCAGTATGCGTGAACATTATTGAGTGCATTGTCCCACGTAAACATATCGCTTTTGCTAAATATGAACTGGGCTCTAAAAAATGAATCATGAGATATATTACAATACAGTACGTGTGTATGACACAAGTACAGTACGTGGCTTTTGGATGTCGCATAATAAACAAAATAAATTAGTTTGAAACCGTAATTAGTATATAGACAACTACCGGGTATAAGCTATTCTGCAACTTGATTGGCTCTCTACTAGCAAGATATTAGCTCATATCCTGCTAGTAGAAAAAACAGGATGGCGACTCGAAAATAACCGGAGTTTTCTGAACGAGAAAACAGCAAGTTATTCGCATTTAATAGCATTAAAATGGATAAAAACAGAACTGAAAATTACGCACCTCGTCAGCTATCAGCTCATATACTACTCAAGTTCGCAGAATAACTGTTAATTATGCGACTCGTCATGTTAATCACGAAATAAAATAGTTTATTTAGAATCTCCTTTGCTTTGTAGCAAAGTTCATCGTTTTTCTTAAAGAAGGTCCATAAAACTTCGCCTGTATTTAGTATGTTTTCAGTGCATTTTGGAAAACAACTGCATGAGTGAGTGTTTCAAAGATGATAAAAATAGCACGAATCCGAAGAACAAGTGCAATTTTTAACGTCCTTGAATGAAAACCTGACGAGTGTATATGTTTTTCCAAATTGGACAATTACACGCTTCGATAACACGTGTGTACTCTCCTATACAGTTTAAGTACTGTTTTCATTGCTATCAGCAAACCTTTTCAGTCTACTGTACGTGTTGCTTGTATATGAATTGACCATTTGCGTAATAGACTAAATTTTGATCTAGACAAAAATTTTATCACAGCTTGAAAGAGCATCACAAAATTGGTAATATTCCAAAGTTTCGTTGCGAAATGTTGTAAAATGCGGATCATATAGCCTTGTGAAGTTTGCAATTTTCAGTCATTTTAGAAATTGACAGCCCCAAACCCTTTGGGGCTGTCAATTTCCCGTTTGTAATCTAAAATGACTGAAAATTGCAAATTTCGAAAGGCTATATTATCCGCATTTTACAACATTTCGCAACGAAACTTTGGAATATAACTAATTTTGTGATCATGATGCTCTTTCAAGTTGTGATGAAATTTTTGTCTAGACTTGTTTAGATCAAAATTTAGTCTATTACGCAAATGGTCAATTCAACATGACAATTTCATCCTGCCCAATGGTATTCTGTCATTCCTTCCTGGCAGTGGCGTAGCTAGCGAAATTTGACTAGTCCTGCTCTAAGACCTATCAATTCTAGGGGGGTCCTGGGGTATGCTCCCCCGGGAAATTTTGAATTTTAGAAGTCTGGAATGGCCATTTCCTGCGATTTCACGGCGAAATACTCCAAAGGGAACATCCAAAAATTGCGTGATTAGCGGAAAATTTTTGATAATTTTTTTAGAAAAAAAATTTGCAACTTTTTGAAATCCATGCATTTTTTTATCATATTTCACTATATATTTTTCAACTTAACTGAAAATATAATGTAGCTAAATATAGTCAAGTCACGAAAGAGGAAAATATCATGTATACCATACGCGTCTGTAATATGATCTTTCACTTGATCAACACATAATCCAACCTCACATAATCAACAATTGCGCCACTATTATACTGTTGAACACGGCGTTTTATACACTTATATTAAAAACGCTACGGCTAGCATTCGTTAAAAATTCACTACGTTTGTTAGTAATGTGTTAAACTTTATATAATGGAGTGGTATCAACTACAGATCACTACGCCTGGCACTCTGAATGTAATTCAGTACGCTATGCATATCGTCTATGCGGCCAAATATCTACCTATAAAACAGTGTGAATTGTTACAATATATCATTTTTAAAATTAAACTCCATATAAGTGCTCGTTTCAAATGCACAAAGAAGATGAACTGGCAGTAAATATTACATTCTTACTTTATATCAATACGACATTACGACGTGCAGGCTTCACAAATGAAGTTTGTATTCCCCATTATATTGTATTATAAAAATACACACCACTGTGAAGTACGCATGAGATTCAACATGACATTCAACATGATATTCGATATTGTGTAAATTAACTAATTTCAATCACTCAAAAGTCCAAATGATAAATACAGCCATTTCTTCTCTCCCAAATCAATTTGGGAGAAATAAACCATGCAGGTCACATTAGCTAACTACTACCTTTATGGTTATCCGCACACAAACCTACAAACGCATTTCAAAGCACTCCAAAACGATACTTTCCTAACAGCTATCCACACTGTCAACAAATATTCAATACAATTTGCTAAGAAATTTAAACTATAAATTTCTCCGCTGCTATTCTATATGATTTTTTAAAACTTTCATATCTCGTACAGAATTATCTCCTCTTTCCACTGGTTATTGAAACTTGGGCGGCATCAATCTATAAACAATCGAAATTCGGCCTTATACTGTACTAATATGTAAGACAACACTAATTATACATACATAGCGCGCACGCACGCACTGTCAAGAATAGCATTTTAAACTGTAAATTTCTCCGCTGCTATTCTATACGATTTTTCAAAACTTTCATATCTTGTATAAAATTATCTCCTCTTTCCACTGGTTATTTAACCTTGGGCGGCATCAATCTATAAACAATCGAAATTCGGCCTTATACTGTACTAATATGTAAGACAATACTAATTATAGATACATAGCGCGCACGCACTGTCAAGAAGAATAATAATAGCTTTATTCATCCATCTTAAGATAAAAAAGTACAATGGACTTACAATTACTTGTTTAAGAAAGTATATATGCTGCGGATATGTCTTTATATTACAAATTGTTGTAAGATAATTTAGAAAACTAACTAAGAAGTTAAAACTAATAAATTCTTTAATCTAATAAGTTCTTCTAATAAGTTAAAACTATTTATACATATTTACAAGCTCTACCTGAAAATGAATGTTTATGCCTTTCAGTTCCTGAGAAGAATGATATATTGCGATTCCGGTCAATGTTCCTTAAATTGTACTGATTGTTAATTAATTTTGGCAAAACACTGCGACAGGGATGGTGTGGATCGTTCATAAACCTATCAACTTCTCGACTAGTTGCCTCTTCCCTTCTTTCGTTCAACGGTGGTAGGTAATCTTTTTCCAGGCCAAGGATTCTTAAGCTCCTGGATTGAACCCGCTCTATTTCATCTCGCAGGTAATTAGGGAGTCCCGCCCAGACAGGTGATGCATACTCGAGAATTGGTCTTATTTTGGATTGATAGGTAATAATACCGACTTCAGCTGGTAACTGCGATTTCCTGCATTCTCTAAGATGGTAAAGGCGTTTATTTGCTTTACGTGTAATCTCTTCAACATGTGCGTTCCATTTTAGATTATTTTGGAACGACACGCCAAGTAATTTAAAAGCGTTGACCCTTTCTATTAACTCATTTCCAATACGAAGACGTGGTGGTTCAGGTATAGCGTCCGTGAAAGAGATCCACATGTCCTTAGTTTTTTTAGCATTAATTGCCATTTTATTTAACACCGCCCAGTTATTTACTTCATTGATAGATTGTTGTAAATTACTATTAGAATCTACGCTCACTATTTGGTGTTGTGTGCAGTCATCTGCATACTTATTCGTACTGACTTTTAGTTGTTCTGGTAAGGCGTCCTCCAAATCATCAATGTAGGTATTAAAAAGAATGGGAGATATTACAGAGCCTTGCGGGACTCCGGCCGGGCATGTTGCAATGGATGATAAGGTACCATTGAGATTTACTTGTTGAACTCTTCCGGAAAGGAAACTTTTAATCCATAACCAGAAGGGTTTATTTATGTTCATAGCTGCTAATTTGTTCAAAAGAATATTGTGATCCACAAGGTCGAAGGCCTTACGAAAGTCAATGAAGGCCGCATGAACCCCCATTTTGCCTGTTTTTGAACAATCAGTGGCATTAAACCAGGTTTGGGTAGTTGATATTAACGCAGAGACTGTGCTTCGATGTTGAGTAAACGCGTGCTGGTTATTCTTAATTTTCAGATCTTCAATATTTAACTGGAGCTGGATCTTTTCCAAGATCTTGGCAAGATGGGGTAAGACTGATATCTGGCGGAAATCATTGTTAATGTCTCTCGGTGGTTGCACTTTAGGAACAGGGGAAATTAGGGCATGTTTGTAGAGTGATGGATAACAACATTGACTTATACTACAGCACACAATGTCATAAACCACAGGAGCTAGGTCTTCGTGGTATTGTTTGAGCATCCATGCAGGAACCTTATCGATGCCAGTTGCTTTTCTTGGATTAAGATGTTTTAAGACCGCTTTAACTTGGCCAATAGAAGGAAGGGGTGGTTTGTTATTCTTATGTGGGTGGTTCACTTCAGGTATTTCAAAGGCGACATTCGTGTAACGGTCCGACCATGGTTTAGTGAAGGCTTTTTGAAGTTTTTCAGCTAAGTCGGATAAGTCTAGGTTTTCGGGCCCGTGTGGAAATTGGGTGTGGGTTGTGTTTTCGGCATTTACTAAAGAGTAGATACAGTTATACCACTTCGATTGATTCGAGGTACGAAATTCTGAGGCCTTGGACCGATAGTAGGTGGCTTTAGCTTTAGCTATAAGATTTGCCACTTTCTCGCATAGTTGTTTGTATCTTGGCTGATCACCACGAGAAAAGGCCTTCTGACGAGCTTTGATTTGCATTTTAATATTACCGGTGATCCACGGTTTATCAGAGTGATGTACTCTGATGGGTTTTTCAGGTAAGAACTCGTCAAGCATCTTGATTATAATGGAGTTATAAGCTGATACTTTCTCATCCACATCCAGTGCTGAATATACAGTAGTCCAATCTTCAGAAGCTATATTCAGGGAGAGGTCATTTAAATTTGCTCGTTTCATCAATCTAATTTTTTTTGACGTAACCGGAGTTTTCTGTCTTTTAATGGGCTTGAAGACATTGGTGGTCGGAGCGTCCGATTGGGGGGAGATGGCTAACAGTGTCAAAGAGAGGGAGCATATTTGTAAGGATTTGATCAAGAATGTTGTGTCCTCTAGTCGGTTTAGTTACGGATCTTTTTAAATTAAATCTGTTACATAGTTCTCTTAATTTTAGTTGATTGAAGTCCCCAGCTATAACAATTCCAGATGAAGGACGTTCGCGCAAGAGACTATCTATACAAGTAGTTAAGTATTCATTCATATCGATTGCTTGTTCGGCGGATTGACCAGGAGGGTAGTACACAACAGCAGCAACGATTGTACTGTAAGGTCTAGGGGTTCTGGGGGGTTTTAACAACAACCATATCACTTCTTTGTTTTCTTCTTCGAGGTGAGTCATACGCCCTGCTGGTAAACAATTATTCACGTAGGCGATCACTCCACCGCCAGGAGACTTTCTATCGCGACGAAATATGTTGTATTTATTACCGATCTTAACCGAGGAATCACCGATATCATCACTTAGCCAAGATTCAGTTATCATTACCACGGATGG